AGGATCATTAGATCAATAGTATTTTAATCAAAATGACAATTTTAGTGAAAAGAAACTATTACTTTCTGATCATCTACATTTACTGTATGTAACTCATGTATGGAAAAATAACATGTAACTCATATTTAAGTCCATATCCTCATTTCACAAATTTCCCTAATAGTTTCATTTATGGAAATTTTTTCTAATCCAGGATCCAATTCAGGGTCATGCTATGCATTTAGTGCACAATATCTGGCATCTAATATTATGAAACAATACCCAAGTTTGTCTTTTATACCATTGACATTTTTTAAGAGTATAGGTCAATCATTTTATAGATTATCCTTCAACTTGGGTTTTTCTGATATTTCCTTTTAATTGAGGTCAGATGTGCCTTTGGTGGAGGAACACTACACGGCAATATCACATTACATCAGGAAGCATATGAGGTTAGTTTCTCCCATCACCGGTGATAACTTTATTTAAAATAGTAGAACATTTGTTCACTAAAGTACTACTCATTTTTTTTCTAATGCATATTTGAGGGGAAGATACTTTGATACAATGTAATTATTTTGTTGCTTTTTAAACTTTGGCTTAATAATGTTAGTATCCATGGATGATTCTATTTGAGTCAGTTTTTACTATGAAGGCTGCAAAATGGTAATTTTCTAACTCTTAATTTCATCTACATTATTGGTTGTCACTCTCTGCAAGAAAGAACTTTCCCTTCTCCTTATTTATTTATTTGCTATTTACTTGCTTACTACCAGTATGGACTGTGGATTCTTCTGTCAGTCAAGGGTTTATGATCCATTCTCCCATTTTCCATTTTGATGCTCCAGTTTTCCCATATTTGCTCAGAGGGATCCCTTCAAGTTGTCTCCTCTGTCATTTTTAAGTAATCCCATCACTATTTGAGCTCTCCCTTATTTTTTGGCATAACAAGAAGTTATAGTTCATCTTGTTCTTTGCCTGCCCTAGTTTTCAGCCATTTCACCAAGGTGGTCTGGTTCCCTTTACTGAAAAATTGTATTTGAAAAAACAAAATCTGAGTGCTAAATATGCTTGTCTACTAGGACGTTGTTGCTTCTAGGCATACAATAAAATGTGCTCTTTCAAGTGCATAGTTCAGTGAATTCTGACAGATTTATATGCCCATGGTCAATGCTCAGTCTTCATTGTATTTGATCTATTAGCAGCATTTGAGACTGAGGGTCACAACTTTCTCCTCACAATATTGTCTTCACTAGCCTCCCAAACAATGATACTCTCCTGGTTTTCCTCCAACCCCCTGGGTACTCCTTCTGTCTCTTGATCTTTTCTACTCTTCTCCATACCCGTTAAAGTTGAAGTACTGCAGAACTCAGACTTGGATGCTTTTCTCATCTGTATCTACACTCGTTCCCTAGGTAATCTCATCTGACAACTCCTAAATTTATGTTTCTAACCCAGTCTTCTCCCCCAAGCTCTGGATTTTATATCCGCTTATTTCTGTTATTTCATGTGCGTGTGTTTTATTGATTTCAGAGAGAGGAAGGGAGAGGGAGAGACAGAAACATCAATGATGAGAGAGAATCATCAATCGGCTGCCTCCTGTACGTCCCCTACTGGGGATTGAACCCACAACCCAGGCAAGTGCCCTGACCCAGATTCAAACCATGACTTCCTGGTTCATGGCTGGACCCTCAACCACTGAGCCACACTTATTTCTACTTGACATCTTCACCTGATTTTCTAATAGACTTCCAAATTCAACGTATGCAAAACTGAAATCCACCCCCACACCTGCTCCACCTGCAGCCTTTCCCATCTCTGATGATGGCAGCTCCATTATCCTGGTTATTCAGGCCAAAAACTTGGAGGTACCCAAAATATAGTCAGGACCTCTTCCCTACCTCAGCACTGCTCTCACATGGTGTGAGCAGCCATAACCTCCTGCCTTGAGTATTTCAATGGCCTCAACAGGTCTCACTACATCAAAACTTACTCCTATAATCTGCTCTCAGCACAGAAGCCAGGATGACCTATTTTAAATGTAAGCATGATTGTACCACCCTTTTACTCAAAATTTTTGAAGTGGTTCCATGTTTCACTCAGAGTAGAGCCCAAATGTTGCAATGGCCTACAGGGTCCTGTATGATTCTCATACCCCCTTTGCTCTAAGCCCTCACCTCTTACTCCCCGCTTTTTCTCCCATCTCCATCCCCACAGGACAGGTGCTGCTCTCCCTCCTGCATACCAGCATGCTAGGGATCCTTCCCACTCTAGGGTTATTGGTGCTGGTCCCTCTGTATAGAAGGCATTTCCCCAGATATCTGCTTGGCCAGCTCCCTCATCTACTTCAAGTATTTTTTTTTAATTGCAGACTCTAATGACACCAAACATAACTCCCCTCACCCAATACAGAACTTCTGAACCCTCATTCCCTGCTTGCCTTTTTTTTTTTTTTACCCATTGCACTTAAGACCTTCTAACACATTGTTGTAAATTACTTCTTCTTTATGTTTATTGCTTATTGTCTGTCTCTCTGTCCTAAAATGAGGACAGGGATCTTTGTTTTTCTCACTGGGGCATCTAGAACTGAAGGATCTCATCAGGTTTCTAGAACAGTGCTTGTCTGTCCCTTGTAACACTCAAAATATTTTTTATATATGTATTTTTTGTTGATTTCAGAGAGGAAGGGAGGAGAGAGAGATAGAAATATCAACGATGAGAGAGAATCATTGATCAGCTGCCTCCTGCATGCCCCCGACCGGGGATCAAGCCCACAAACCAGGCATGTGCCCTGACCAGGAATCGAACCATGACCTCCTGATTCATAGGTCAACCCTCAACCACTGAACCACACCAGCCAGGCTCAAAATATTTTTTAAATAAATAAATCACCTACTTTATCTTGTACTTTGACTTGATAAACTGATAAAAATGAGTAAGAACTCACTAGTAGAATTGAGTCATATAATCCATTTTTAATACTGATATGTGCCTAAACACCCAACTTTTATTATATTCCTCTTATCTACTTGTTTGCCTCTTTCCACACATGAAATCTAGATTCATTTTAAAATAAAATAAAAAATTAATTAGGCAGCATTTCCAGAGAACAATAGGTTTTGTCTGCCCTGAATTATGCCTTAGCATGTATAATACAACATAAGTAACAAACCGATATCAGTCACTCACTCACTGTCGGTGGGGAGGGCTGCATTGCTAAGGAACCCCGGACCACTGTTTCCGCTGCCTCTGGCATCCACTGTGATTTTGAGCTCCATAGAGGGAAAGGGCAGATGGGAGGAGGCATGAGAGAAACCAAAGTTCTTTATACATGAACAGTACATTTTCCTACTAAACTGTTCAATTGACTCCAGATCCAAAATTGGCAGCAGATGTCTCTTACGTGGCCGTAGAGTGACTCACAGCATTTCAGCTGAGACAAGACTTACCTTGACAGGCATTTAAATAATGTGCTTGGGGTATTTCTGGGCAATCACCACGATGTCAACAGTCAAGTTTTGAAAGGTCCATGTGAATGAGTATTCAAATCTCTCTACTGACAGGATCAGACTCTCACGGCCACCAGCACAAGAGAATGTGCTCCATTAGAAAGCAAACGCTGCATGTCAGGAGAACGTAGGTGGCTTTTAGGCTGAGATTGTTGGTGCCTTTGCCACTGATGTTCTTGGAACATTAGAAAACATTTCCCCTTGTCTAAGCTAGTGTATTCTCAATCCTTCTACTTCAGGTGCAGGGTTTGATCAGACTAGAATGAGTATAGGATGAGAACCTAATCTAAATTTTGGAACATTGGTTCTAATGCAGCAGAAAAAACCTTAACTGTTTCTTTAAATGCATGCAGAAGTATGGGAATTTTTCTTACTAAGCATATTGGCATCTTTAATAAGAAAATGCAGTTTTTAATTCATACACTTTGTCTTTGAAAATTACATTTTAAAATATCTCAACTTTTAAAAATTTTTAAAATGTATTGGTTTTTAGTGAGAGAGGGGAAGGGAGAGGTGGGGAGAGAGAGAGACAGAGAGAGAAAGATTGATTTGTTGGTCCTCTTGTGTATGCATTCACTGGTTGATATGTGTCCTGACCGGGTATCCAACCTACAATCTTGGTGTATGGAGATGATGCTTTAATCAACTGAGCTACCTGGCCAGGGCTAAAAATATTTCAGTATTTTAATAAATGTAATATATAAGAAATATTACTTTTTGTTCTAGAAAAATTTTAAATATAGAGTTAAATAGACTATATTTTAAAAAGCATTGAGAGCATCTTTATAAAAAAACTAGAGGCCCGGTGCATGAAATCTGTGCACTGAGGGAGGGTTGTCCCTCAGCCCAGCCTGCACCCTCTCCAATCTGGGACCCCTCGGGGGATGTCCGACTGCCGGTTTAGGCCTGGACATCCCTCTCACAATCCGGACTGCTGGCTCCCAACTGCTTGCCTGCCTGCCTGCCTGATTGCCCCTAACCGCTTCTGCCTGCCAGCCTGATCACCCCCTAACCACTCCCCTGCCAGCCTAATTGATGCCTAACTGCTCCCCTGCCCCTAGCTGCCCTCCCCTGACAGCCGGTCGCCCCCAACTGCCATCCCCTGCCAGTCTGGTTGCCCCTAACTGCCCTCCCCTGCAGCTTGCCCCCCCCCAACTGCCCTCCCCTGCCAGCCATCTTTTGGCAGTCATCTTTTGACCACATGGGGGTGGCCATCTTGTGCAAGGGCATGAGGGTCAATTAGCATATTCCCTCTTTATTATATAGGATATGTTTTTTATTTTTATGTGGGCTCCCTACTGGGGACCGAGCCCACAACCCATGCATGTGCCCTGACTGGGAATCAAACCGTGACTTCCTGGTTCATGGTTCGATGCTCAACCATTGAGCCATACCACCTGGGCTTGAGAGCATCTTTAATACTTCTCTCCTTTATAATACCTTGTATTTTTACATAGTGGGTAAAATGGGCCTTATAAATATATAATTTCTGAATTTGATTACTTTCCACAGATACAACACACTCAGGGGAAATTGGCACCAAGAAAAAGGTGAAAAGACTGTTAAGCTTTCAAAGATACTTCCATGCATCGAGGCTGCTTCGTGGAATTATCCCACAGGCCCCTCTCCACCTGCTGGATGAAGACTACCTTGGACAAGCAAGGGTGAGCTAGCTACCCCTGTGCCACCTCACCGCAGACAGGGGCCGAGAGCATGTGCCGCCACGGGTAGTAGGGTTGAGTCCTGCTTCTGACACTGAGGTGCTCTGTGGCTTTGGCTGGTTACTCAACATATCTGAACCTTTTTCTCTAATATAAAATGAAGTTAATAGAAATACACACCTCATAGGGGTGATGAGGTAAAGCATGTTTGCATGCTAAATATATTCATACCTAGTTATTTTTGGTGTATAAATGTGCAAAACATATTGAACCCATTGAATTATCTCATTGTAATAGCTACCATGAAAATAACCCAATAATTACCAACTCTTAATTCCATTTTAAGATAGCAATATGGTGCATTGTCTTTTTCATAATTTTTAATTCATTCAAATAATTGTTACTAATTTTATAACTATTTTTGCCATTCATTGGTCCAACTGAGGGTAGACACTAATGTGTGACATTCTAAACAAAAGCCTGCAGGCTATCTCTAACCCAAACTGCCAAAGGAATTTAGAGTTTAGAAATAAACTGCCTCAGTTTAAATATAAGTCAAAGGTAGTGTCTTATAGTTTACATGCTAAGTAATATTATGCTATATATATACTATTAAGAAATAAGTAGCAAGTAATATCAGAAGAACTAATTCCTAATATTAGGTCGACAAAAGAGAAGGGGTCGGGTATCACTCCTTCTAACAACCCAAGGCCTGAATTGAGCGAATTTGTTTGTTGTTGTTCATTTGTTTGGTAAGAGGAGAATAAGACCAAGCTCTCAGCACCGGAGCCTCCATGACAGACACGCTCAGTGGTGCCTCCCCTCTAAGCGGCCACCTCTCAAGAAAGGCAACATTGAGATACAGAAAGAGCAGCGGGCCAGAATTCAGCACCAAGTCCTGGCTTGGCCCTTAGATTTGTATGACTTGGGTAAAATGCTCACGCCATCTAGATCTCACAAACAACCTCTTAACCCTTCATTGCCCTAATGTTGTTGTGAAAGTCTTTGTGGGCCACGATGAGGCCTTTGGATTTTTCACAAGATACAAAGAAGCCATTCAGGGGCAGCTAGGGGAGCAGGAGCTGATCCTTACCTTAGCCATGGCTGTGAGAGGAGAGGAAGGAAGGCAGTTGCAGAAGCTACAGTGAGGAGAGAATCAGCACCTGCAACTTTGTGTCTTAACTGAGAGTTTCTAAGCATTGGGATATTTTAAAAAGAAAAATAGGATTATAAGCCTATTGAAAGTAGGTCTTTAGATTACCCCAATATTTTCAATTGCTCGCTCTTCAGTTTTCTGTTACTGGTTCATTTCACATTTAGTCCCACGTTGAGCAGAATAACATGCTCAGCCATCATTTTGACTCCATTTTATTAAAATTAGTTGTAAACCTGCCTTAAGCGAATAATAGTTTACGATGTAGAGACTTCGCTGAACTATAGTTTTAACAGACACCTAACATGGGTGTGCTTACTATGTATAAGCACTGTTCTAAGCCCTTAAATTACAGGCATTTATGTTTACATATGTTGCCTTATTTAATCCTTACAACAACCCTCTGAAGGAATAATATCAGCCACATTTTTCAAATTCGGAAACTGAGGTACAGAGAAGTTAAGGAACCTGCCCACAGTTCCACAGCCAGTAAGAGACGTGGTTGACATCAGATCAGGCAGACTGATCCCTGAGCCTGTCCCTTTAACACTATTGTGATTAGCCAGTAGAGTAAGATTTATTTTACCACAAACCAGTTGTACATTGATAGTAGAATGCTACTGTATTATCACCATCTTAATCGTTTAATCCACTGTGTCTCAAAGTGAATATTTGAGTCTTCAATGTGATTCATTTGAATGGTTTTTTGTTTGCCTTTCAGCATATGCTCTCCAAAGTGGGAATGTGGGATTTTGACATTTTCTTGTTTGATCGCTTGACAAATGGTAAGTCACCTGAAAGAATTCACACTAGAATATGCACCATAAATGGGATTAATTTTATGAAAACAATACTTATTTTTAAACATTGGTAATCCTTTTTCCCTCTTTCCCCCACTTTCTTTTATCCCTCTTTCCCCCACTTTCATAAGTCTCCAGCCACTCAAGGAGGACCAGGGCAGGGGAAATTACTGCCGAAAAAGAATAAGGAATAAATTCGGCCTTAGAGTCTTAAGACAGTTTCCTTCTGGCCTTGATGATCCCAAAGGAATTAGGAAACCACAGATTAGATTCTGTCCTTGCAGAGTTTTTTGGCTCTCTCCAAAAGGAGGAAGTTCAATGTTAGCCAATAATATTAGAACCTGCTCATCTGATCAGTCCTGCAGGGCAGGTATTGTGCACTTTCATTAAGTGAGTCAAACCTGCCCTGGCGCCCGGTATTGTCCAGGTATGTTTGGCGTCTTGAGATGAAAACAATTGCTGAGGATAGAGTGGAAACGCTTAGGCTGCAGCTGAAAGGAAAGTAGATATTCTCTTTGGTTTCACTTTAAAAATTTTTGTGCCTACAAAGGCTTCCTTTAAGAAAATAATAAAATCCTATTATATTTTCATCTGCCTATTCAACAAATGCTGATGAGCTTAGGGAGCCAATGAAAGACATCATATTTAATGCTAACTTTCCTATGTCCCACCATCTACCAAGCTTGTGATTTGTCGTTGCAACTTGTTTTCTCATCATTCTATTACTTGAGAAACAACATATAGTGGAAAGAGTACAGCCTCAGACCATAAAACTGAGCTTTCCACTGTGGAAAGCTAACTAGGCCACATAGGGATGGATTCCATAATTTCTTAGCTCCCTTTGCTCAAATCATCTGAGAAATTGGTACCAGTAAATGAAATTAACTGTGAACCAAAGAACATGTTCAAAAGAGATTATACTCATGACTCAGAAGTATGAAATGAGCACATGTCAAAGATTTGTTTAACTCAATTAGCGATGTAGTAAGATGCTACGGATCTTTCAAAGGAGCATTCAAAGAGCCACACATATATAAGCAGTAAGAAACACATGAATTTATAAATAGCTGTAAAACTGGGAAGAGGAAATCAATTATATTTCCATCTGAACTATTTCGTTTGCATGTATATGGACAAGAGTTGCTTGAAATACTATCAGTTATCTACAACTTGAGAGTTGTGAAATAGCCCAAAACAATGAAAGTTGCAGAAACACTTAGAATGAGGTACCCTGGAAGAGTATTCTTAGGCAACACGTTGTTTTTATTTAAGACATCCAGTCATCTTCTTGGCCCATTTCACAGTCTTTCATAAATTCTATGATACTTTTAAAATTCAAAATCAGGATTCTTTAGTAAATAATATTCCTTCAATATTTACATGTTATTGTAGCTTCAAATTTGCATCTTTGCCAGCTTGAGGTATAAAATGTTTCAAGGTAAGTATAATCTTGATTGATACCTAAGTAGGCAGATTCCTTCTATAACTCCTTATAACTCTTAATATTGCTAACAATTCATTGCCTTTGGTATAGGGAGACAATCTAAACTAATTTTCTTTGTACAATAATAGAAAACCTAGGACCAGATCATAGTAATGATATCCTTTATGCTTGAATAATTTCAAATTTAAAGGGGAAAATAAATGATCCTATTAGAGACCTTTCATCACAGAAACTGTGGATCCTATTGTCAATCTTGATAATTTAATGGTAATGAAAAGGAGTTAAAACTGGTGACTGTTTTCCTCCAGGAAACAGCCTGGTAACACTGCTGTGCCACCTCTTCAACACCCATGGACTCATTCACCATTTCAAGTTAGATATGGTGACCTTACACAGGTTTTTAGGTAAGTCTCTTTTTTCTTTCATATTCCTACCTCCTTTGCCATGAATAGTGGCAGTCCACAATAAACTAGCAGGAACCCTAGCATGGTAGATGAAGACCTCAAATTAATCTCAAATTATCTCATCTTAATTTTAAAATATGGTTTACCCATTTAAATCCCTGAAAAAAAATGTTTATTTGGTTAGTTATGTTTATAGTAGATAAAGGCTATACAGAGAAAACCAATAAGAGCAGGTACCCGTCAAAGAAGTTACTGATCTGTTCACATGTCAATAAAACTCCAGTAAGGCATGCCTCAAAGAATCCCAATCTGGACATGAGTTGTTGAATATCTTCAATAGACATTTTTTTTAGTAATAAGAACTACCATTTATGTAGTGGTATGTTATTTCTAATCATTTCAGCAACCCTGCAAGTTGGGCATTATCCCCACCACTTGGCCCACAGTTAAGGAGAAGTACAAAGTGGTCTTGTACCTTGCTCAAGGTCAACAACTTATCATTGGCAGAGCCGCAATCTAAACCCAGGCTCTCTGACTTGAAAGACCACCATCTTTCCCCTTAACTCCACCATCACTCTCTGTCCAAAACAGCCCCAGTCTTATTTGACTTTACGTGCATCCTTATTTATCTGCCAGTGAATTATCTAGGGCACATTTTTAATCACCACATAACTTTCTGCTGCCACTTAGCATGTTTCTGGCTTCCGTGCTTTGAATTTGAAAGCTGACTTGATGCCATCAATAGTAAAATAGCAGTGAAAATGATAGCAACAGTAGCAGCAACCAGGCTTATATGGTGCTTACATATGCTGGGAACTCTTCTAAGGACTTGCATATATTAACACTTGCCATAGCCCTTTGAGATTGGAGTCATTGTTATTCCCATTTTATAGAGAAGGAAACTGAGGATCCTGTGGTTAAGTCACTTGCCTGATACAAATAATAATGATAGGGGCAGAATTCAAATATAACTGTAAAGTAAACCTGCTTAATAAAAGGTATACATGACACAACAGAAATTTTTTAAAGCAGCCACAATATGGATCAGTTTCAGAAATACAAATAACCTCAGGCAATTGAAGTTAGATTGCTTGAGCAAAGTAATGGCCATGAATAAGGCCAAATAGTTTTGATTTGTCTAGAAAAGGAGAATGCAGATACTTTGGGCATGTGTATGCACTCAGAGTACATGTAAAGAATGCAAAGATTGGATGACAAAAATAACACCAGAATCCAGAGCCAAACTCACAGCATGGGCTGACAAAATATGACCACACTTGCAAACCTGGATGTTCTATACACACTGGTTATATTGCATCCTAAGCATTGCCTTGGTCATTAGCTGAAGCAGGCTAGTGGCTTCTCTAAATAGCAAATTAAAATTCCCTTGCTTATGTCTCTACTTGATTCCAAGAGCACTCTGGTCCTTAAATTGGAAGGGCATGAAAGATGATAACTATTCTGAATGAGGCAGAAATAAAGCCAAGGAGTCCTCAGTTGGATCAACACAGTAAATAGAAAATCTGCCCGAAGAAGTCCCAGATTTGCTGTGGTCAGTATTTGTTACTCAAGTGGTAGACCCATCTTTGGATCTCAGGATTCTGATGCTACCTACTGGGGCTGTTTAAAAGGAAACCTCTCTTATGGCATAATATTCATAAATGGCAGCAAAATTAAAGAATTAAACTGTAGTGTGAAGTAAAGTTGTTCGTTTCCTACATATTTGTTTTTCCTATGAATGAAAGCCTTCATGAATGCCAGAGAGGGGTGATTAATGAAGGTGGTGAGGGTTCCCAAGGGCCTCACAAATCCTTTCAACCTTTTCCCCATCTGCCTTCCCCCTTCTCGCCACTAAAAGCAGCTCAGTAGAACTGTGAAACTCCCAAGCCATGTTCATTTTTAAAGAATCCCTCGGGTGCACATTTTGGAGACACTAATATTTTTAAGCAAAAGGGACCCTTAATAAATCTGAGGTCTTCCTGTTTGGGTTTTAACTGACTGAGATATCTGTTTATCTCCTAGTCATGGTTCAAGAAGATTACCACAGCCAAAACCCGTACCACAATGCTGTCCATGCAGCCGATGTCACCCAGGCCATGCACTGCTACCTGAAGGAGCCAAAGGTAAGGCCAGACCCGGCTGCCTCCTCAGCCATCTGCAAGTGCCAAGTCAGAATAGCTGTTATGGGTCCTTTATAACACAAATACAAATTGTTTAGATTCCAGTTCCAATATCAACTCTGATAATCATGCAATACTCATGAAAGAGGATGTAAATTTTCCGAGGTTTCCTTTCATAGCTTGTATGAAAGGCTGCATTAGGACAAAAAAAAATCCTCCCCATGATAGTCTGCATCTTATGTATCTTCAACAGTCCCAGGAACTAGCCGTTTTGCCTTGAATCTTTGCTACAAATGGTACCAGCATTGACATTTTCTGAGAAAGGTCCCCCACCTCATGGTTGTTGATGGACAAATAGAATCAAAACTCCTCAAGGCTCAAACTCCACTTCCTACTAAGGCAACTGAATATCCTGATTCAGGCCCAAGAAAATGAGTGAATGTCACAGACCTCTTAACAAGCATGCTCTGATGTCATCAACCAATCCAAAATTAAAAACATGAGAATAGTGCTTGTTACTACAAACCGAGGCATTTCTTAGTCGTATGAAGTTGGTATAACATAGAGGATGAATTTCATAAGGTTTTTGAAAATAAAATCCCAGTCCAAGACTCTGTTCAGTTCAATCAGTTTTAACATCAACCACCGACTATGCAGATGCCAAACAAACATTCCCAAGACAAAACTGGGTAAATGCCTCATCCGTATAAAATAGCCCGAAGACATTAAAGGCTTTCTTTTTTAATCTCTAGGTAGCCTGAAAGTTATATATTTAAAGTTAGTGTTAGATTCCCATTCCCCTGCTTGTTTTCCTAGCTAACAGAGAGAGAGAGAGAGAGAGAGAGAGAGAGAGAGATTCTCACACACCCACACACTTCCCTATTACACATTGAATAAATATGCAAATTTTGCAATTCATTTTTTAATATGTTTTTATTGATTTCAAAAAGAGGAAGAGAGCGGGAGAGAGAGAAACATTGATGAGAGAGAAACATTGATTGGCTGCCTCCTGCAAGTTCCCTACTGAGGATTGAGCCCACAACCCAGGCATTTGCCCAAACCAGGAATCAAACAGGGCAACCTCCTGATGCATAGGACAATGTCCAACCAACTGAGCCACACAGGCTGGGCATTCAGCGCACTCTGAATTTCATATTCAAAGGGTGGCAATGATATAGTGGATGGTTGAAAAATACAAATTATTTTTTTATGTGTCCATCATTTTGGTTTTAATGTTTTACTTCATTTGTAGTTTTCTCTGGAGCAAGGCTGATTTCAGGATCTAACTTCTCCTTACCCACAGGCAGGCAACAACACTGCAACAATAAAAGGAAACAGAGTGGCAGTAGGAAATGGAGGGAACCTGAATGGTCTACACAATTTGACTTGCTCAGTTACTTTCTGCACAGTCCTTTCTTTTTTCTTGCAATTCCATGTGACTCTCACCTCACCGACTGCTTTAGAGGATAGAAGTCTGGAGGATGAAAGGCCTGGACAGCTTTGTGATGCTTCATTCAGTATGATTTAGCCAAAACAAATGGTAACCTGTTTGTGAAAACATACCCTTTGACCTCCCAATTTGACTTTCTTAACAGCTCGCCAGCTTCCTCACACCTCTGGACATCATGCTTGGACTGTTGGCTGCAGCAGCCCACGATGTTGACCATCCAGGGGTGAACCAGCCGTTTTTGATCAAAACTAACCACCACCTTGCCAACCTGTATCAGGTAGGAGAGCTCAACACTGGACCAGGCACAGAATGGCCAGCTGCCTTAGACCCAGTCCTGGAGCCTGAATCTCACCCTTGGAGATGGCTTCATTCAGGGCCAGCCACAATGATGACCACAGCCAAAGAGCATGGGTTTGAAATAGGTCCAGGATATCCCCCCAAAAGGATTAACTTGGTTTACAAGGATCTACAAGGAATTCAATTTGCTCTGAAGCAGATTTGAAATTATTAGAAGTCAAGCAGCATCCTTACTCTCTGATGGTCTGAGAGTATCTGTGTCCCTGGGAATTATCTCATATATCATGGCTAATTGAAGCTCATCTTTGTAGGACTTCTATAAATGATACTGCTCAGGTGCAACCCTAATTCAGACTTATGTCTCTAGGGCCATTTCTGTACTTTATAGGCCTCTGAGTTAGAGGTATTTTATCAAAGACAATAGACATTGTTTAAAAAAAATAGTTCAGCAGCATGAAAAGATTGGCCAGGAGAATTTTCACCCCATGATACGGTTTCAGATTTTAAGCCATATGTCATAAATGAATTATCCCCAGAGTTTTCAGCAGGATTCTTTGGAGACCTTTGGTTGTCATTCACAAAATCATTACATACAAGAAAATTATTTATCTCAATTTTAGTAGAGCTTTTGTAAAAAATTTAGTGCTGAAAGAATTCCTGGCAGATCCCTCCCATAAAACAGCTTCCTTCTATAAGATGTTGCAGCTTAAGAATGCATTTATTTCCAACAAAGCACAACTGGAACATTTTCAAAAGCCTTTCCCATCCAGTTGATTTGCTTTGGGCATAGGGAGAAACTGGTATTCCAAGGTTTATGGCTCCATCTGGTATGTATTTTAGCATTGGGCTTCCCTGGGCTGTCAGCCAGCACCCGGAGCTGGGATAGATACAGTCATGAAAGAAATTAAGAAAAGAAAGAAAGCAAGAGAAATCAATCAATGCAATTGGCTACTTAATCCATTCCCAAATAATCTAAATGCTTATATAACTTCAATTTCTCATCATCAAGTAAATTATATCAATGGGAGTTTGAGAGTATTACTGCTATTGGGTAATTTATACATAAAAATTAGGTTCATCATACTGTACTTTGGCATGTAGTAAGTATATATAAAACACATAATGAATTCACATTTAGATAGAAGTCAGAAATATACCAGATATTAAAGACATAAAAACAAGAAAGTAAGTGTAGATTTCATCAATAATGAAGAATTAAGTACCCACTGCTAATTAACAAAAATTGATTCTCAAAAGCAAGATACTCTATCTTCTTAGGATACTAAAAAATGTTCTCAAAAAAAATGGATTCCTTACTCAAACCTTTGAAGTGCAAATAGTTTTAATAATTTTTATTAACATTCCAATACAACCAAATTCTCCAGCCTTTTCAATACAACATATAGTTTTGTATATTTTTCATCAGCAACTATTGCCTATATTTGATGATATACTGGGATCTAGACATACAAACATGAATAATATATAATCTCTGCCCTCAAACATTTGTTCAAACTCTGATGTACAAAATCCAAGAAAACGTAATCACAATTTGAGAAAGGTTGGAGGAATTACCTAAAGGTATGCATTTAGATACAACTTTTTTTAAAGTCTTTGAAGAGTAAATGCCTGTGTTGTTCTTTACATCCAAAGATATTACTATAATCAAGTGAGTTATTATTTTTTTCTAGCAGTGAATTTATCAGCATCTAATCTTTGATAGAACAGAAAAAGGCCCTTTTGACAATGACTAGAGAGAAATTTGGATACAGGACTCAAAACCACATTCAAGATACTGTCTTCATCAGTCTCCTGCTCGACTGGTCTTAGGGCCTCTTGGAGGCTAGAGATCTATGTCTTTATGTTATAGAAACAATGCTGAAGGCAAACAAGTATTATAAAATTACTTCCAATATGAAACTTTTATCAGCCAAATGAGATTTCAATTCTGCCCCCAAAATTGATGCTGCCTTTAATATTTGGCTATATACCATTGTTGACTATCTGAAGGAACTCCCAAAAGATAAATTCCCTGTTAAATTCAGTTTTTAAAAGTATGTAACTGACCTTTATTCAACACTCACTATGATTCAAATGCTGTGCTAAATGCTTTTTATGTATTATATTATTTAATCTTCACAGTAGCCCAGTTAGGTGGGTACTATTATTATACCTATTTTACAGAAAGGTGAAAATTGATACTTAGGAAAGATCAAGTATTTTTCCTTAAAATAAACAGCTAATTAATAACAAAGCTAGGATTGGAATGCAAGTCTTTTGTCTCCAGAGACGAAGTGCCTACGCACTATACATGCTGCCTCTAAAACTCATATAAATTACCTACTATGTGCAGAAAACTAAGAGCTCTCCTCCAGGTCATCCTATTGCAGTGAGGGAGACAAGAGGATTAGAGATCAGTGGCTTAAAGCAGGAGACTTTGCTAAGTACTCTATAGTAGACAGTGAGAGAGTGTGGTGGGAAGACAGTAATTGATTCTACAGATGGTTTCTGAAAGTAAAAAAAACTCATGGAGGAAGCATGGTGTAAACTAGCCTTGAAGCATGTGTAACATTTTGAGTAACATTTGGAAGTCACTAGAGACAGCACAGTCTGGTGTACTTTTGTGATTAAAACCCACAACTTCATAATAACTGAAAACGGACTGTCCCTATGGCCTTTAGCTGAGCATACTCCTGCCATGAACACACCCTACTCTCAGATCAGTGTCTGATAAATTCCCTGTAGATTAGCTGTACCGAAAAGGACCTGGGTCAGAAAATCCCCACACTGCGCAGGCTGTAGATGAGGAACTGGCATAAGTCTCCAGGTTTTCAATTTCAAGAGGAAAAATCATGGTACATAACATATAAGCTGAGTGAGACCATTAACAACACATGATATTTAAAAATATTTTGGAATTGTAGCCTTTTAACCTACCAAGGGTCTGTTGGTTGAAACATGAATGAACTTTCAAGAAATTACATGCAGATTTTGAGCATGTACCTATGCACATTTTTCTAGAGAGAGGACCTATCACTTAGACTCATATTTTAAAATGAATTATAGATTCAGAAAATATTAAGAACCATGGTAATGAGTGAAAATATATTTATGTACACACACTACATATATTATACAATATATTGTGAAATTATACAGAAACATGCACTCACATTTGGTTAACAAAGATACAATAGAAAGGATGTGCTGGGAATTATGTGGCTTTGAGAACACCCTGTGCATGACTACTACAATCCAGATTTACTATAAATGAGATGAAATGAAAGGACGTCCTCTCCCTCCTTTTGTTGGCTATGTTCTTTCAGCTCGGATACATAAGATCGTTGCATAATGCCTAGCCTGTGCTTCTGCCCTGAGACAAAGAGAGAGCCAGGGCAGCTGGATGAAGGCTGGGTCAAGGGGCTCTCTCCCATTGTCTGTGTCTGGGCTGGGCTCACTAGCTGAACTTCCAACCCAAGTTCAACATGAAGGCCATCAAGACACTTCCACCTGGCACCTCTCTCATCCGAGTGGAAACAGTCCAGGTGTCCATGGTGGACTGAGAGGGAAAGAGCATGTGAAAGATAGAACCCACAACTTGCCTTCTGTCCCTCTACCCTGCAACCCCACACACACGTGGGCTCAGCCATTGGGCAAAGTAAGTATTAAGTCAGATATGGTATTATTACAATTGCAAAAGAAATCACTTTTAGTTTAATTTAAAATTGAATTCCCTTTGATGGAATCCAACTATGTATTAACTAGTGACAGAGCAACCTAAAGAATAAAATATTTAATAATTAATTGCTCCATAAAATTTCATATTTATTATATTTTATACGGTCTTGCAGAAGTTTATAATCATTTTCTTAGTCACTTATCACAAACACTAGGAGGAGGTCAGCATTTTTAACCACTTTTTATTATTTTAATGACTCTGAACCATAAATATGGAGCTGACAGAACCAGAAGTGTTCCTCCCACCTGGTCCTATGGCCTCTTCTCAAACAAGCAACTGCATAGGTGATACGTAACTTCATGATCCCTGCAATAGCAAAGCTGTTTGGGCAAATGTTGTGAAAATATTAAAAAGGAGGCTCAACTTTGATCTTCTGCTTGATAAAGTTTCTGCTGTTCATGGCAAGGTGGCTGGTATGTGGCAGGTCCGGCCCTGATCTGAACACGGGCCTGCCCCTTGGACAACAATGAATGTCCAGGCTCCTTGCTCCCAGAGCAGTGACTTGGGCAGGTGTAGGTCGGACAAAAGAGCGATATCTTCAAACAGGCAGTAAACGTAGCAGTGCTGTGGTTTCTCCAAAGGCCAAGGTCTGTTCCTCTGAGACCTCCTGGGCTGGGACTCGTGCAGCATTGCCAAGGAGACCACTTGGCTTGTTAAGGAAGAGCTCAGCCACTTCATTATCTCCTAGAGTCTTGCTTCTCTGTTTCATGAGCAATTAAAAATGAAAACAGACTATGTTCATGTTGTTTTTCTTCCTGTATCCTCTGGTTTAAAAGAGTAATTAACTCTGACTCCTGTTGAACACCAGACTCAGTTTAGCAACATCATCCTGAGTATTTTAATCAAAGAAAGTGTCCAATAAATAGCCCAGGAATGGCGGGGAGACAGTGGGGGTGGGGGGGGG